AAATGGGGTCTTGAAGTTGCAAGTGGCACAGGATGAAGTGGGAATAGGTGGTGTGACCCCGTTACCCAGACAACCAGTACCAGCCTCCACCTAGCCACCCCAAGTGTGTTCTGCCTCAGCTTCCTGACAAACCCCTTGTACAAACCCCTAGCCCCTTGTACAATGCCCTCCAGGGTAAGGCTCCTGGAGGAGAGGGCCCTGCTCCAAGTCATCCTCACTTAAGGGTATAATAGTTTGTGGGCACAAAGGGCATCTTGCTGACCATGGCCATCTGCTGCTTTCGCCGCACCTCTACCAGCAGCAGGGTACCTGGCCGACTGTACTCACAGGGCACATAACCCATCGCCACATTCTTCTTTAGGCAGGGTGAGGGGCAGCCACTGGTCACAGCACCTGTCCAGGCAGACGCCATGTGTCAACACCACCCTGCCAGCCCAGGGTCCCCACCCTCCTAGGGAAGAGACAAGGGCTCTCCAACTTCCCTGGTCAACCTACCAAGCACGGTACCCTCCGTACTCAGGATGGGGTTGTGCGCCCGCACAGGAGCCCCCTCACACATTAACCCCACACGCCTCCGCTGCACCTTGCCCTTCAGCTGGGGAACAATGACTGAGGCTCCTGGGAAGTCCATAGCAGCTCGGCGGCGCTTCCCTGGAACATGACACATCAGATTTAAGCCAGAGTCCGTAGGACCCCTGACTACAGGAGGTCCTAGTGACAAGGAACCCAAGTGACATCTATCCAGCATCAAGGCCCCTTCGCTCAGGCTGCCCCTAGACCTCATTCCTCCCCTGCAGTGCAGTCAGCCATCCACCTACTGACCCCTGGTCTTGGAGGCCATGCTCCCCACCTCAGCTTGCTGAGGGTCCTCAGTATCTATTGGGCAAAGCCACTGTGGTATCTTCAGGAAATGAAGGCTCAGGGAGGCTGTGCCACTTGCTCCAGGCTACACAACCTTGGAAGCAGTCCTGGGTTGGCTGGTCTCATCAAGGGTCACTCCAGCCTTCAGGATCCCCTCCCTGAGTGCTAGCCCAGCTTACCCAATGTCCAACTGAGGCTGCCTTCCACAGGTGTGGTGTGTTCATCAATGTCGTTCCCATACAGGCAGAGGCCTGCCTCCAGGCGCAGGCTGTCCCGGGCCGCCAGACCTGCCAGCTTCACCTCTGGGTTTTCCAACAGAGCTGTTGCCAGGCGGACTGCCTCCGCGGCGAGCACCGAGATCTGCAAGGGACACCAGGGAGCAGATGGGCTGCTGGCCCCAGAGTCCTATGCCCTGCACTACCCTGTGCCCACTTCTTGACAAACCTCCACACCATCCTCTCCTGTGTAGCCACAGCGGGTCACACGGCAGCCAGACACGCCAAACACCTCCATCACAGCACTGGTCATGAAGGGCAGTTTCCTCAGATCATCTGCCACGCCAGCCTGTAGCACCTGGGCCGCAGTGGGGCCTGGGCCCAGGGAGCCAATAACCAAGTGTCCAGGTCCTGGTGCCCCAGAAAGCTGGATCACAGCCCTTAGGGACCAGAACAAGCCCTGAGCAAGCCCCACTCTGCAGGTGGGAGAAGATGCTCTTGCCCACAGCGCATGGAGCCTTGTGGCAGGTAGAAGGAGGGCATGATACCAAACTTAGAATTATGGTGCACCATCCTCACCTTCCCCCAGCACGGCCTCTCTGCCAAGCAGTAGAGGAAACCTGGAAGGCAAAGTTCAGCTCCAAACCCAGCCTGGCCCACTTACCTTGCAGGGCTAGCAAGGCATTATCCATCACCTCCAGGCCCACATCGTTGCCCATGTTCTGAAGCTCCCTAACCTTGTCCTGAAAGGAAAGAAATACCACATTTGCTCTGGGACCCCTTACTGAGCACCTGGTGCTGCAGAGCTCAGCAGAGTAGGCTGGTTCCCGTCTTAACAAGGTCATATAACTACTAAGTGGTAGGGATGACTCATGCCCAGGTCTGCCAGCTCTAACACCAGGCTCCAGCCTTCCATCCGCACCAGAGGATCCTCACTTAGGGGCCAGGATCAGCTTCACCTCCCCACCTCCCCCACTTCCCCACCACTGAAACTTAGCATGCTCCAGGGAGGGCCCGCTCTGGCCCACTGTTCTTTCAAAGAGCCATTGTCTGAGCTCCTTATCCATTCCAGGTCTGTCCTGGAAAACAAGGATGCTGCTTTGTGAACAAGGAGGACAGGGTACCTGGGACACAGAGGGGCTATACCTGCATGAGGGTCAGGTCCTTTTCCCAGCAGCCAGCATTGGACACCACATACAGGTGTCCCTCAGAGGTGTTGGTCACAATCAAGTCATCTAAGATGCCGCCAGCCTCATTGGTAAACAGCGACAGTGTTCCCTAGCATCAAAGTGGAGCATCATTGCCTCCAGGTCCAAGAGGCCAAGGTCAAGTGTGAGTCAAACACGCCCCTGGGCCCACTCAGCCACCACAAACTCATGAACCCTCGTGAATAGAGCTGAGGGGTGGTGGCAGCGCAAGAAGCAAGGCTGGGTCAGCCCAGGCCCCTGCACAAGCCCAGGGTTTTTGATCCTCATACACTGAGAAAGGTTTCACCTCTTCCCCACCTTGGGGGACACCTCCCTGATCTGGTGGGGCCTCTGCACCCCTCCCCATTTAGTACAGAGAGCCCCTCTCACACTTAACCCACCATACCTAGGACTTGATGCTTCGTCCCACCCAGACCTAGGACAACTCAGTCTGTGCTCCAAACCCCAGGACAGAAGCTTCAAAGTCTATGGGAATTCCCTGGTGGTCCAGTGGTTAGGACTCGGCACTTTCACTGCTGAGGGTGAGGGTTCAATCCCTGGTTGGGGAACTAAAATCCAGCATGGCCAAAAAAAAAAGAAGCAGCAGCAGCTTCAAAGTCTATCTTGATGACCCCATGTGCTCCACAACAACCCTCTATAACACTGAGGTTGGCTGGCCTCAGCCTCTCCACTAGATGGACAGTATAAGAAGAGCCTGAGGTTAAGAGGTCACATGAATCACCTGGGGATCTTGTTAAAATGCAGGTTCTGATTCAGCAGGTCTGAAGAACTGGCCTGAGAGTGTATCCTAACAAGCTCCTATGTGACGATGAGGCTGCTGGTTTACAGACTACACTTTTGTTTTTCTTTGGCTGCACAGCTTGTGGGATCTTAGTTCCCCAACCAGGGATTGAACCCAGGCCCTTGGCAGTGAGTGCACAGAGTCCTAATCCTAATCACTGGACCGCCAGGGAATTCCCAGGACTACAATTTAAATTGCAAGGGGTTAAGCAGCATGGAAGTCACAGAACAGGACGTGAACCTGGGTTTCTGGCCTTCCAGCTTGACGTGGTGGGGATGGGATAGGACCCTCCCTGCAGATGGCTGGGTGTCTGGACATGACTCAGGGACTCTGTCCCCCAAGAACGAAAGCCCTGAGAAACTGTGTCTGATCCATCTCTGTGCCCCCAGGCCCGAAGCAGGGACTCAGACTGGTTTGCTGGCTTATGACTAAGAACACTCATTGAGCAGAAATAAAAGAGAGGCCCACCTGGTTTGGCTTTAGCTCTGCAATATCTCCAACCACTAGACTTTCCATCAGCTTCACCCGGTCATGGCCAAATATCTTGGTCTGGGAAAGAGATCAAAAAGCCTCTGGAAAGCCACGGGGCTAGGAGGCATCCTCCCTGCCACCCACAGCACTTTCCAATCCAGCCAAAGTGCCTGACTAGTCTTTTGGTTCTGCAAGTGGCAGAAGCCCTACTTTCTGACTCCCCCACACCCGCCAATACAGAAGAGATGCACTCAGGGAGGTTAGGGAACTTGAAAGGGCCCAGCACTTTCCTGAAATACCCCCTTTTCCAAACCAATACCTAGGACAGTGGATGACAATGAGTGGCAGCCCTGGAAAACCCAGGACGTTGAGGCACTCCACTAAGTGGGAGCAGGCTAGAGAGATAAGACAGGAGATGATCAAGAGACCCTCTGAGTCAGTTTACTGAGGGCCATAGTACATTACACCCTTGAGACCTCCAACTCTTCTGAGAGGGCTGCCCTTGGAATCCAGCTCCCAGCAAAGAAAGCTGAGGGTTGCACCATTGTGGACAGAGAGGAAGCCCTGGCCTGGCAATCAGTGCACTCCCCTGGCTCACCTGCAGCATGTGGGATACGTCAAAGAGCGAGCAGTGCCGGCGTGTATGCAGGTGTGAGTCAACGTGGCTGTCCCGGTACTGCACAGGCAGATTCCAGCCTGCGAATGCCACCATCTTCCCGCCATGAGCCAGGTGGAAGTCATAGAGTGGTGTCCTGCGGAGCACGTCCTGCGGGCGGCCGGGCTCAGTGCCACCAAGGCCCCAGGCCCCAGCCCTCTTCCTCCCCCACCCTCCAAGACTGGCACCACAACCCAGCACCCTCTATCCCACCTGTGCACTACTGAGAGAACGGCGCAGGGCCGAGGGGAGCGCCTGGAGACACGAGCCCAGACGGGACATCATGCTCCCAGCCCGCTGCATTGTTGCCCGCAACGGGTGCAGCCGACGCACAGAGGCCACCACTCTGACAGGCACGCTGGGAGATGTAGTCCAAGCCCTGCTTAGATAGGTCTCTCCCCCGCCCAGGGGATCAGAAAAGGGAGTGGGCAGCCCCAAGGGCAGACGCAGCTTTAGAGCACACAGTGCATTGACTCCCAGCTGCAGGGAAATAGCCCCGGGCGCTTCCATCTGATCAGGGCAGATTGGGCGGTTGGAGCCAGTTAAGCCACTCAGAAATAGAGCTGGGGGCTAGACCTCCCCCTGCTGACTGCCCTGCCTCCAAAGGGCCAAAGTTCTGCAAAGGGCTGAAAGGCCTGAATCACCAGTTTAGGACAATAGGAGTGTACGGTCGCATGGGGGGAGGGTAAGGGGTGGAGAGGGCACAGGAAGGTGGAGTCAGCCCGGCAGGCAGAGTGCCACAGTAACCTGGCCTCATGTGAGGGTCTCCAGCTCTCTCGCCGGGCAAACGTAGGCAGCGGGCACAGTGATGCATTCCACAAGTATTTATTGATCTTGCTGCACACTAGGCCCTGTGCTGGGGACAGAGCTGTGCAAAGCAGGGTCCCTGCCATCCCAGGGACCTCCCCCCTCACTCACATACACACTGAGAGCTGCTACTCCCTGAGCACAAGGCTGATCATTACCCTCTTAGCAAAAGCTGAATGGGGCTTAGTAAATGACCCTGCAGGCAGATACCACCTACAAGAACTCTGATAGGTGACATCAGAAGGTGGCCACCAAAAAGTGGCTGCCCTTCCCCTAGAAAGCTGTTGAGCCACACAAACATCCAATTTTCCAGGTCCAACACATGTTGCAGTACTGCCTCATAACAGCCCCCAGAAGCAAGCCAGGAAAAAACAGAGAGAAGCAGGATTTTCTCATAAGGAGCAGCAGCCTGTCTTATTCAGCTGCTGGCCTGGGGTTGTAGAAAACCTCAGCCTCTTAAAAGACACCAATGAGAACCCTCACCTGGCCCCCACCACCACCACCGAGGTTGATCTCTCATCACACTGAGCGTGGCTCTTAGATGGGGGCAACTGGAAGAGGGACAAGGATGCGCTTTGGGCTCTGTCAGATGGCAGACAGGTCCCAGGACTCATTTTCAGGCCCCAGCCTTGCCCAGGGCACCCGCCCAGACCCGATGGATGGGGGCAGACCCATTTGAACACACATCCAGGAGCCAACTCAGGCACCGAGGGACTCAGGCTGCCCAAATTCCCAGCTTTGTGTGGCTCCCCAGGCAAGCAGCAGAAGAGTTTAGATAGGAATTTTCTTTTTGTGGGCATAATACAAAGGGAAAGAAGACCATTAGGGGGCGCAGAAGGAAAAACGCGGCTCCTGTTTCTCCTTCAAGCTTCCAAACTACGACTGCCAAGTTACAGCAGTCTTCCAAGGCTAGACAGAGCAGGTTCTAGTAGGTTACCCAGCCTACTACACTCAGGGTGAGGGAGCAGGCAGAAGACAGGAATGTTCATGTTGGCAGGGGAGACAGAGGGCACAGGGGGATTCTTAGGAATAGAACTGGAGTGTTTTTAGGGAGGGCGAAGGAGGAGGTTTGGGTTGCAGTCAGGTGAGGACAGAGTGTATCCCCTCCAGGAGTTCATGCTAAAGCAACACAGTGAGCCCCCAAGAATCTTGACTCTGTGAACGTGGTCCTGACAGAATGCGCATGCAGGCAACACTCGGAATGCACAGGGACAGCACTTCAGCCTCTGATGGCCCAAGCTGGGCCTGGATGGGCACGGAAGGCCAACGTCTTGACTAAGGGCCACAGCTCAAGTGTAGGAGAGCAAGTTCAGGTCATAACAGCCATCCACCTGCAACACAAAAGACCATCAGATCTGACCCATTCAGGCCAATGGGAGCCAAGCAGAGGGAAGCGATCACTCACATCAAAGCGGCCGATCCTTGTGGAGGTATGACTGGCCCGGATCATCTCTGTCAGCGCCCACATCTGCTGTACCTCGGATGATACCCTGCTGGGGTCTGGGAGACCCTGCTCCAGAAGGAGGGGTCAGTGGCCATGGGTCTCTCCCCAGCAGTGCCCTTATAACTCCAGATAGGCCAAGTTGGGCTATGGGGCCCTCCAGCTGACATTCCCAGATGACTTGTGAAACATGAGGATGGGGCCTGATGTGGAGTAGGTGGCCCGGCCCCACACAGAGATGCCTCAAATCCCAGGAGGAAGGTGCACAGAGTGAACGAAGGTCCCTGGGTCCAGCCCCAGATTCTTGCAGAAAGGGGTCCCCTTGGGCCTGTGCTGGACACCAGAGCTGTTCGCACATGGTTCTTAGCCAGGGTAAGGGCTTACCTCAAGAAGGGGAGCAGGCTGCTCACAAGGCACTGGGTGCGAGAGCCACTTGGGGAAGGTCATGGAAGGGCTCTGCAAAGCAAAGGCATACTGCCCTGAGGCGGGCAGAGTAGGAGAGACCTGGAACCAGATCCCAAGGTCCTGAAGGCAGAGAGAAGGGCCCCTGAGCCCCAGAAACTGGGAAAATCCCATTTAGGTCCCAGGGGCAGAAGACTACCTAAGCTCTTCTGCTATGCAGAAGGAAGCCCCACGAAGACAAGGAGCAGAAGTATATCTGGGTACCTGAATGTTCCAGATCTGAAAAAGGCAGGTAGCCCCAAAGGTCAGGGGATATGGGGACGTGGCCTCACCTCTTATCATGAACTTCCAGCATTCCCACCTGGCTAACTTCCATGAAGGACTCCTTCTGAGTCTCCCCATCCTTACCCATCTACTCCCACCTGTACCCCCAGGCCTCCCAGCCATAGCTAGGAGCCTCCTGGAGAGAGGGCCAGCAAACAGCTCTGAGCTAGTCACTTACCTTTGGTCCCTGTTTGTAGATCTGCAGCTCCTCCACCGTGAAAGACAACCACAGTGGTGATGGCTGTCGCAGAATCAGGCGTAGTTCCAGTACTTTGCCCATGTCACACAGCATCTGACACATACACACAAGGACCCACCGAGGCCCCAGCTCACTGCCCAGGAGCCAACCAGCAATGAGCCAAGGTGCTTCCTCCCCAGGCCTTTGAGAAGGAAACAGTAGTTCCTCCAAGGCACTTGCCCAAGAACCACAATTCAGGCCAACCTTGCCTGCCCCTCTTCCCTCATGGTATCCTGGCCCAATCCCCAGGCCTCTTGTGAGCCCTCATCTGGGCTGCCCTGGCCATGCTGAGTCCCAGCTGACCTGGTGCTTGAACAGCGATACATACTCCTGAGCTCCCTCCTCACTGTGTGGGTCAGGCATCAGGCAGTAGTCCCGAAGGCAGGTCACCCACTTGGCTGGAGTGTGTGTTGAGGTGTGCTGGCGAACACGGATGGTCAGAAAGGCTGTGTAGTAATTCTTAAACATGATCTCCTGCAACTAGGGCACACACAACCCACCACAACAAATCACACCTAGGCCCCGGGCCTGATGGGTTCAAAAGCACCATCTCTTCCTCCACTTAGGAATGTACTCTTCTACCAATCTAACAATATCAACAAGAATCCACTGGGGCCCAAAGAGATTTTGCCTTCCTAGAACTCACAGTCTAAATGAGCATGTCATGCAAACCATGACCTCGGATCTTGCTGCACGTCCAAGATGCTGGGAGTGGTCAGAGCCCTAACTCTAGATGAATCAAAAAATGTACAGATGAGTTCATCAAGTGGACCATGAAAGGTAGAAACTGTAAAGTAGCATAAACAAAGGAACACCAAGGGGTGACAGGACCTGGCATACCCCTGGAACAGAGAGTGGTTCAGCCTAGCTAAAGCAGTTCTCATCACTGGATACTCATCAGAATTACTCAAGGAGGGAATTCCCTGGTGGTCCAGTGGTTAGGCTTTCACTGCCAGGACCCAGGGTTCGATCCCTGGTCGGGGAACTAAGATCCCACCGTGGTGAGGCCAAAAAAACCCAAAACAACAGCAACAAAACAGAATTACTCAAGGAAAAAATTTTTTTTTAAATATAAGTGTACAGGCTCCACCCCAGACCTACTGAATCAGATTTCCAGGGTTGGGCCCTGTAATGAAGTCTCCCAGCTTAGAGTAAGCAACAGCTTGGGGTAGAACCACACACTACAGGACAAAATGCCTGGGGCCGAGAGGCAAGTAGGGCAAAGACACAGAGTGGCTCTGAATGCCAGGCCATTAGAAAGTGGACTCTGTCCTCTGTGTTGAGGTCTTGCAGTGTCCAGTCACCCTGCCAGCAGATGTGGAAGGGCAACTGGAGACTGGAAACTGGAGCCACTGGGAAGACCCTGATGAGGGATGATTTGAACCTGACCTCCAGCAGGGACTGTAGGAATGGGCAGGAGGCAGGTTTGGGGGTAACTCATTGTCTAATGATACCCAGTCAGTGGTCAGGGACAAAACGACCTCTCACCTCTATTAGGTTCAAAACTGTATTTCCAGCACCTAGCCTACTATCTCGGCACTTCCGTGTCAGCGCCATTCTGGGCATTGGGGAGAGACGTTGAAGAGAACAGAAGAGGAAGCTGCATTCTAGTAACTGTGTGTTAACTGAAGGAATAAATAAATGTTTAACTGATTCATTTGGGCGAGGTACTGCAGAGGCTTTCAGTAAACGATTAAATGGCTGGGACACGCCCGAGTTCCCAGATAAGCCCCGCCCAGGAGCCCCGGTCGCGCCCACTTGCTTGCTCACCTCGAAGGGCGCGACGCTGGGGAAGGTGACATCGATGACCAGCACGCCAGGCCGGCCTTGGGAGGTCCGCACGTCGCCCACCTGCAGGGCCACGGTACCTTTCACATGACAAGGGACCGACACGCGGGACATGGTGGCAGCGGCCGCGACCAAGTAAGACCAATGGTCTTTCCCGGCGTCCCCAGCCGGGCCCCAAGAACTACAACTCCCGAGAGGACTCGCGCTCGGCCATCCCAGCCAATCACCGATGCTCGGGGCGGGCCCGGATTCGGAAGTGCCTGCGGAAGTGCTCCTTCAGCCAATCACCGAGCGTGCCTTAGAGAGCCACCAGGGACCATGCCCAGAAACGGCCTAGCCGTTCTGGATCCAGTTAGTGCTGAGCCTTATAGGTTCCCTGAAGTCTCAGTCGGTTACTTCCTCTGTGCAGGGCGGGCGTCAGTTAAAGCGCGTAAAGCCATGACCATGAATGAGCATAGTGTCTGGACGACACTGGTTGCAAAAATAGATATTAAGCCTTTTTTTACGTACGCGAAGGATTTGAAGAGATAACTCACAAGAAAAGATAAATAGCCATTATGCCCATGAAAAGATGCTTAACATTATTATTCATCAAGGAAATACAAATTAGAACCCCACACACCCACTAAACAGACTAAAATTAAAAACTGACAAAACTGTGGAACGCTCATGCGTTGATAATTTCCTGCCACTTTGAAAAGCAGTTTGGCCATTCTTTAAGAACTAAATTTATACTTAAAACATGATCCAGCCATTGCACTCCTAAGTATTTACCCAAGAGAAATGAAAGCATATGTCCATCCAAGGACTTTATTCGTAATAGCCAAAATTTGGAAATAATCTAGGTGTCCAACAGATGAACAAATGAACAGATTAGCTAGTTGTGGTGTATCCACACAATGAAATACTACTCAACAGTAAAAAGAAATGAATGAATCCACAGGCTATCAATAGATGAATGGGTAAACAAAGTGTAATTACACAAAATGAAATTATTCAGCCTTAAAAAGGAATGAAATTCTGGCACATGCTTCAACAAGGATAAACATTGAAAATATTACACTTAGTGAAAAAAGCCAGACATAGAAGAACAAATATTATATGATTCCACTAATGTGAGGTACCTAGAAGAGGCAAATTCATTGAGACAGAAAGTTTAATAGAGGTTGCCAGGGTCTGGGGAGGGGGAAGTAGAGAGTTATTGTTTGACAAGTACAGAGTTTCAGTTCAGGATGGATGAAAAAAAAATCTGGAAATAGTGGTGATGATTACAAAGCACTATGAATGTACTTAAGGCCAATGAATGATATATACACTTAAAATGAGTAAATGGTAAATTTTATGTCATGTATGTTTTACCACAATAAAAAACAAACAAACAAATGAACAACTGACATACACAATACCAACACTGGATTTCAAATGCACTATGTTAAGCAAAAGAAGTCAGACCCAAGTGAGTTCATATGGTGTGGTTCCAGTTACATGAAATTCTAGAAAAGTCAAAACTAATATAGAGTAATATAGAGTAATATAAATCAGAACAGTTTTCCCTGGTGCCAAGGGTGACTGTGAAGAAGTACAGGGGAATATTTTGGGGTGACAGAAAGGTTCTATGATGTGATAGGCTGGTAGTTATATTTGTCTAGTCATTTGTCAAAATTCATTAAACAATGCTTAAGATATGTGCATTTTATTGTATCTAAATTATACCTCAATTGGGAATTCCCTGGCAGTCCAGTGGTTAGGACTCTGTGCTTTCATTGCTGAGGGCATGGGTTCAATCCCTGGTCAGGGAATTAGGATCTCAGAGGCCGCACAGAGTGGACAAAATAAATAAGTAAATAAAAATTGGTAAAAAAAAAAAAAATATATATATATATATATATATATATATATACACACACACACACCTCAATAAAGAAATTAAAAAATAATAAAACAAAATAAATTATTCCTCAATAAACATGATTTTTAAAGAAAAAAATTAAACATCATATTTATTATCATCATCATCCTTCCAGGTACTTGTGGAAACAATGCCTCAGAAATTGTCAGTTAAGCCTGTTTTATGGATAACAAAGCTGAGGCCAGATGTGGGCCAGTGATTTCCCAAGCCAAGAAAGCAATATGAAGTAGAGCTGGAAACAGAGCCTCTTTTGGACTCCTACCTCATAGGTCAGAACCCTCCAGGCAACAGTCATCTTTGGTGACCTGTGCCTTCTCTGTGTGAGGGGCTCCAGAGACACAGGCCCAGTGTAGCTCATAGGATTCTCATAATGTGACATCAAACAGACACAAAACCAGGATTCCAAAGCCCAAGGAACAGCCTGGAGGAGCTAAGCCTTCCCAGCCCAGACCTGGAGACCTCCAGTGACAGAAAACTTTCCCTGTCTCATCATAATTTGTAACCTGTGGCTTCTGGACTGGTCATTGTTATCTCCATTTTGTTTTTTGCTTTTTGTTTTTTAATAAATTTATTTATTTTTGGCTGCATTGGGTCTTCATTACTGCGTGCGGGCTTTTCTCTAGTTGCAGCAAGCAGGTGCTACTCTTCGTTGCAGTGCATGGGCTTCTCATTGCGGTGGCTTCTCTTGTTGCAGAGCACAGGCTCTGGGCGCATGGGCTTCAGTAGTTGTGGCACACGGGCTCAGTAGTTGTGGCTCATGGGTTCTAGAGCGCAGGCTCAGTAGTTGTGGCACACAGGCTTAGTTGCTCCGCGGCATGTGAGATCGTCCTGGACCAGGGCTCGAACATGTGTCTCCTGCACTGGCAGACAGATTCTTTTTTTTTTCTGACATCTTTATTGGAGTATAATTGCTTTACAACGTTGTGTTAGTTTCTGATGTACAGCAAAGTGAATCAGCTATACATATACATATATCTCCATATCCCCTCCCTCTTGCATCTCCCTCCCACCCTCCCTATCCCACCCCTCTAGGTGGTCACAAAGCACCGAGCTGATTTCCCTGTGCTATGTGGCTGCTTCCCATTAGCTATCTATTTTACATTTGGTAGTGTATATATGTCAATGCCACTATCTCACTTCGTCCCAGTTTACTTCCCCCTCACTGTGTTCTCAAGGGCAGGAGGATTCTTAACCACTGTGCCACCAGGAAGCCTGCTATCTCCATTTTGACTCAGACTAATGATTCATTGCCTGGGTCCCTCCAGATTCCTGAGAGTTTCCCTTTTAGGGAGCCACCCACCCCCCCATACTGGAGCAGAGGTTTCCCTAAATCCCAGAGGACTATAGCCCTCCTGAGAATCAGGTGGATACAGACAGGTTTTGGTCTTCAGGCCTCAGCTCTGAGAGCAGACACAGACCCATGTGGCCCCTCATTGCAGATGAGTCTCAATATTGAAACAGGAGGGAAGGGTGCAGGGCACAACCTTTGAAAGAATGACATAGCCCAAGGACATAACATAAACTGATTAGAACCAAATGGGTCCAAGATGGCAGACAAGTTAACTTCCACTAGACCTTGAGCGTCAGTATACAACTCATTGTAACACATCAGTAAGCTAACTGACACACCCACAGAGCCATGACAGTTCCAAGGCTGATCATAAGTATCAAAAAGTGGGTGGTGGGGCTTCCCTGGTGGCGCAGTGGTTAAGAATCCGCCTGCCAATGCAGGGTACCTGGGTTCGAGCCCTGGTCCGGGAAGATCCCACATGCTGCAGAGCAACTAAGCCTGAGCGCCACAACTACTGAGCCTGCACTCTAGAGCCCGTGAGCTACAACTACTGAAGCCTGCGTGCCACAGCTACTGAAGCTCGTGTGCCTAGAGCCCGTGCTCCTCAACAAGAGAAGCCACCACAATGGGAAACCCGTGCACCGCAACTAAAAGTAACCCACGCTCCTCGCAACTAGAGAAAGCCCATGCGCAGCAACGAAGACCCAATGCAGCCATAAATAAATAAATAGATAGATAGATTAAATTAAAAAAATTTTTTTTAAAAAGTGGGTGGTGGCCCAATTGCTGGAAATCCCCACCCTTTCTCAAAATAGCTGGAATACTCCTCCCACTCATTAGCCTATGAAATTACCCACCCCTGTAAAAATTGATAACCCATAGCCTGGTGCTCCTCTCGCCTTCTGAGATGGCCCACTGTCTGTCTGTGGAGTGTGTTTCTCTCTAAATAAATCCACTTCTTACCTATCACTTTGTCTCTCACTGGATTCTTTCTGCAATGAGACATCAAGAGCCTGAGCTTCATTAAATCCTGAAACCAGGTGTGTGATCTCAGTTGGAAGACTGTGAGTTTTGGCCAGCTGCATGGGTTCGAGTCCCAATCAGGGTTTTGGCTGAGTTCGAGTCCCAGCACTTGGGTTCCGAGTTCCAATCTGAGGTGCACGGTTTCAATATCTCTCTGGTGGACAGCCACCTCCACTCCATCTATATATGGGGAGAGAGAGAGATCAATTAAGAGATTGAGATTATAAACTTATAAACTGTTTGCTCATGTGATTATAGAGGCTGAGAACTCCCAAGATCTGCCATTGGCAAACTTGAAACCCAGGAGAGCCAATGTGTAGTTCTAGTTCAAGTCTGAAGGCATAAAAACCAAGAGAGGTGATGGTATAAATTCCAGTCCAAAATCTGGCAGTCTCAGAGACCCTAAAAGACCTGATGTTTTGGTCATACCCCAAAGCCTGGAAAAAGAACAATATTCCAGCTCAAGCAATCTGACAGGAGGGGTTTCCTTTTACTCAGCTTTTTTGTTCTATTCAGAACTTCAACTGATTGCATGAGGCCTACCCATATTAGGGAGGGTAATCTGCTTTACTCAGTCTATTCAAGTATTAATCTCAAAACCTAAAAGAAAGAAAAAGAAAAAATAAACAAATGTTAATCTGACACAGAAACACCCTCAGACACACACTCAGAATAATGTTTGGCTAAATGTCTAGATACTCCATGGTCATTTCAAGTTGACACATAAAATTAACCATCACATAGTGTGTTGTTAAATTTCCACATATTTGTGATTTTTGTTTTCAGTTTTCCTTGTCTTATTCATGTGTAGTTTCATTCCATTGTGACCAGAAAGGAAAAGATACTCAGTGTGATCTTAATCTTTTTAAATTTATTGAGACTTGCTTGTGGCCTAACATATGGCCTACTCTGGAGAATGTTCCATGTTCACTTGAGA